CAGGTCGAGGCTGAGGTGGCCGGGAGCGGCCACTGCACTCCAGTCTGGGCAACTCAAAAAAAAAAAAAAAAAAAAAATTAGCTGGGTGTAATCACCCTGAGCCAATTCAAGGGTCACCTCCGCTGTGAATTCTTCCCAGACTACCCCAGGTAGGAGTGAGAACTGTTCCCCCTCCCCCCTACCCAGGCGCCATGCCCTTCACACTCCCTGCACACTGGGTCTAATTAATTCAACTATATACTCCCAATCCCAGCCCAATCTCTGTAATATAAATCGTAACATAATGCAAAAATATTTAAAGAACCTTAAAACTTCTTAATCTTCTCCATTACCCCCTCCTTGAGGTAACTAATATTACCCGTGTAATATTTACTCTTTCATTCCCTTGTGCACGATCATTCAGACATAGACATATAAGGAAGGTAAAGTTTTGGAGGGGTTTTTGTTGCCATTTTTACAAAAATTAAATTATTCTAAAGATGGAATAGAATACCATCTACTACACTTTTTAAAAAGTACCTTTTTAAAGACAGGATCTCACTCTGTCACCCAGGCTGAAGTACAGTGGCAGAATCCTAGTTCATTGGTAACCTTAAACTCTTGGGCACATGGGATCCTCCTGAGTAGCTAGCACTACACCCAGATAATTTTTAAAAAGATTTGTAGAGATAGGGTCTCACTATGTTGCCCAGGCTGATCTCAAACTCCTGGCCTCAAACAATCTTCCTGTCTAGGCCTCCCAAAGTGCTGGGAATATAGACATAAGCCACTGAGCCTGGCCATTACTCCTTTTTTCTGATTTAACATCATGGACATTTCTCCAAGTAAACAGATAGAGACGTAACACATTGTTAAATAGTTGTTGACTAATTTGGGTGTATAATTATTTATTTCCCAGTATTGAGGTTGTTTTTAGTTTTGTTTTGCTTTGTCACTATCAACAATGCTGCATTGAATATCCTTGCATGAAAAGCTTTACATTGTAACACTTTTATTTCTATAGGCTAGATTCCCAAAATAAGATAGTTGGGTCAAAGAATATGTGTTTTTTAATGTATTAGGCTGAATCAAATGAAACTGTTGATATTCAACCACTTTGCCCTAAAGAAAGCAATCTCATAAGGTTAAATCTAATATATTGCCAGATTGCTTTCCAAAAATAAAGTAGCCATTTACATTCCTACCAGAAACGTATGAAATTTCCTGTTACTTAAAGCCCACATCAGATCAGCACTGATATTATCATTGTGTTTACTTTTTGCCAATCTGATTAACGTCAATGAGTTTATTATTCATCCCCTCCTCCCGCTCCCAAGGGCTGAGATCCAACTTTATTCACATTGTAGCCTTGGACCTACCTGTATCATATAGAATGCTTTTTTCCTTCAAGTAACAGAAGACTCATACTGGCTTAAAAAATATGTATTGGCTCATGTGACTAGAAAAGAAAGCTTGGCTTCAGGATTGGTCTGAATCAAGATTTCATTCTTACACATGGCATCAGCGTAATCCTAAATCTTCTTAGGGTGACACCATAATCCTCATGGTGACAGAACACCTACTGCCCTAAAACAAAAGAGAAAAGGGAGAAGACTACCCATCTCACAGAACTCCTGGCAACAATCATCTACCTCTCACTGACTGGACTGTCTCTAAACCAATCTGTGGCAAATTAAGGCTGGTGAACTACACCTGGTTTACCCACATCAGTCGTGTGTCATCAAGAATAGGAGTTCTCGTTTCCCCTTGCAAGGTGTTCAATTAACAAGGCACTGAGCAAAAGATTTAAAACTCCAAGAGATAGAATTCTCAGGTTTTTTTCCATATGATAATGCATAAGCATCAGATGTTAGCGGTACAGTATTGTCAATTTCACAGAAAAGGTTGTCTGTTGAC